ACCAACGAATAGTGGGATTGACCGTCACATTATAACGCCCCCACGGCTGAAAGGGCGAGCATGTTTGGTGGGATGGGGATACGAACCCGCGACCCGCAGATTGCGAGTCGAGTGCCTTAACCACCTGGCCATGCCGGGCCATTTAGGTTAATAGCGCACTACTTGATCAGAATGATGAAATAATATTTTATGTTATTTAGAAGCAAAATTTTAATTAAAACATGTAGTTGCCTATTGCACATGCGTAATCAGATGTATGATTATAGTGTCTTTGTCGACAAAATGTAAAATATGATTTTAAACACCATAATAAATATTTTGTTTCAGTCATATCAGTAGCATATGAAAACTGTGAGATGTTTTATTTTAGTCAAAACTACAGGACTACAAATAATAATAATATCAATGTCTATTTGTTTAGTGACGACAACCACTGTGGTTGGTATCTGTGCCGGGAGTGTTGTTCTTATTTTCACTTTAGCGGCTCTAACCTACTACTGCTACAGACGCCGAGCTTCGAGAGAGGCTCACAAGTTGACCGCTGTTTTCAGAAGAAACTTGCCAGAAGAACCACTTGTGCCGCGAAAACCCACAGCTGTGAGGAGTCCTAGCAGTGGTCCTGGTGGACTGAAAAAAAGCCCTAGTCCAACCAGTCAAAAGTCGCCCTCTGATGACCGGCTTGTTGTGGCAGGTTCTTCTAAACGACTATCACCAGGAGTCTTAGAAGGGACGACCACGTGTTCCATAGAACATGAAAAAACCAAGGTTAAAGATAAGACGCCTAGCCCCGTAGAAGAAAAAGATGTGATAGAAGAGAAGCCGACCAAACTTGGAGATCTTCAATTCCATCTCAGGTACCAGTCCGACAAGCATGCGTTTTTAGTAACCATTGTGCGCTGTGTAGACCTGCCGGCTAAAGATCCTAACATCAGGAGCTCGGATCCCTACGTTAAGCTACAGTTACTGCCGGACAAACAACACAAGGTAAAGACCCGAGTTCTTCGCAAGACCCTTCAGCCTGTGTACGACGAGGAGTTTACTTTCTATGGGATCACTCCAAGCCAGCTACAGACGACCACCTTACATTTCGTTGTTCTCAGTTTTGACCGCTACTCACGGGACGACGTCATTGGTGAGGTTGTGTACCCCATGACAGGTATAGCGGTAGAAGATCTGGAGAAGCAGGTCACGGTGACACAAGAAATTTCTCCAAGAACGTTAAAGGTTGGTGTTAGGCTACTCTGAAATTTATATTATTATCATTACACAATTATTCAACACATAAAGTTAACTTTTTCCAAACTGGACAAGTTTTAAAGAACAGATTCTAACACGTGTTTTAGTTCAATGATTAACAGATTCTAAAGAAAGTCTGACGAAACCAATATAGCTATTAAAAATAAAATAAAATATTTACTTGCTTAAGGCCCATGTATTCTTGCGAAATTTCATAAAAATCACTATCTTACAACATAACCCGTACGTCAATTTCACGTTAATTCAGCTGTGAGAATTTTGCGGTGTTGTTGGGCGCGTTGTAACTGGTAATGGTACATCTGGAAAAACCATTGAAGATGAAACTTGAGAAACGATGCTTCTCCACGTGTCAGTTTTATTATTCTCTAATGAGGTAGTAAAAATAAGAACCACAATGACAGAGGCTATTTGATCTTTGAGATAATGTTGCTTTATGTAGCTCGATAACTATCCAGCTTACTTATTTGATACGATCTATGTTTCCCACCCTAACAAGGAAAATAGAGTGAAAACTTTACTCTTTTTTCTGTTAATAATTGGAAGGTTTAATTACGTTTTTAACCATCTTTCAGTAATTGTAACATTATTCATTTTTTTTAAATTTGCAAGTATATAGAGTTTTTGAACATTATTCTGAAATACGTTATGCAGTTGATAGCAATAAATAAAGAGGTAATATATTTATAAAATTCCCGGCTTTAGGACTTATTGTTTGTTGCAAGGTGTTCCTGATTTATAAAAAAAAACACAAACCTTCTTATACATTTTAGTGCTGTACAGAAAACAAAGGATCCATTTAGGTGTTGATAACACGAGTAAATAAATAAACAACAACACAAGTTACATACAATAAAACGAGGACTTATTGTGTTAATCGGTTCCAAGTGTTTTATAAATCGACTAAACTTTTACTTAGGAATCCAATCAAAAATACAATTTATTTAAACATTTCAACGTTGTCAAATTGACAGATCCGGTCTCAAGGTCGAGGAGAGCTTCTAATTTCACTTTGCTACCAGCCAGCGGCTAATAGACTGACCGTCGTCGTTTTGAAGGCCAGAAACCTTCCAAAGATGGACATCACTGGACTATGCGGTAAGTACATCCTCAACTTTAGAAATATATTAAGGTTAGATGATAAATATTTATTGACTTTCTTTTTACTAGTTCCCTGAAAATAGCAATTAAAAGTTTTGTGGTTGAAGAATTAATGTACTGAGTAAGGAGTAGACTGTTTCCAATCGGTATAAAGAATACTACTTATAGAGTAAGTTACGAGTAGATCCTTATGACCTTAATTTAGATTTTATTCTCTTTTTATCATTAATTACCAGTGTTATACACATACTTAGTCACGTAGTATAATAATCTGTGAATATGGACCGGGCATGTCATAGTAATCAGGATGCTTGGATTATACATTCAGCTATTCATGGTTCGCATCCCGTTGATGTAAAAATCCGTTCTATATTTTGAGGCTATGGGTGCACTACGAGAGTAAAGGTTAAATCACACTATTCATTTAGAAAAGAGAACCACAAGAGTTGGCGGTGGGTGCTATTGAATAAATGTCTTCCTTCTAGTCCATCAGTTCAAAATTAAGGACAACTATGCACATATAGCCCTTCTGTAGCCTTGAACGAAAATTTTAAACCAAACTAGCATCAATTAATTAATGCATCACAATTAATCGTATTTTCTCTGCATCAAATGAATCAACAAATGTTTAACATTTCTCACAGCAATTTGAAGTGCTTTCATCTCATCGTATTAATTTACATCTATTAATTTTCGATTGGTTTGTGTCACGGATTTGTGAATGGAGTCATATTTTAATTCCGTATTTGCCGGCGTATAAGATGATCCAGTGTATAAGACGACTCTGGATTTTTGTTTAGCAAATTAAGTGTATTTCTTTGAGGTTCAGTATATAGGACGACATCTGTTGTCAAGCGAGTCAATGATGTTAATGCTTAGAAGGTTTATTTAAACTGCGCTAACCTGCGCTCTGGGATAATCAATAGAACTACTTTTTTTATGTTATTCAAACGATACACACAGCTCATTGCAGCATAAATTAAATCACAAACATGTAATAAACAACTTTACAAAGTTTTTATCACGGTTGAACTCCTTTTCTATTACAAAAAATACTAAACCTTAAGATATAGTGATCTACTACAAAATTAGTGGACGTTACAGAAACTAACTTTTTTGATATAATATTAGCAATATTTTAGTATAACGGATGAGATCAATATATTTAAAATTAAAAATGTTTTGATTAATTGTAACTAGCATGCGAGATAAATAACTTCTAGTTGTGAAGAAACAAGACAAATGATACAATTACAAATATGTTGCCCCAGTGGCACAGCGGTATCTCCGCGGACTTACAACGCTAGAATCCGGGTTTCGATACCCGTGGTGGACAGAGCACAGATAGCTAATTGTGTTGCTTTGTGCTTAATTACAAACAAACAAATATGTTATTGGAATGCAATAGGTGGCACGATGGCAATGCACTTACTCAAAACAGCAAACAAAAGGAACAACGTTAACCAGAGAGTTCTTACAGGAACTCTATCATTATACCTGTGTATAAAACGAGAGTTAAAATCAGGCATTGTTTTAAAAGTAAAAAAAAAAAGTATATTTTTAAACCCCGGCAAATACGGTAGTTGATAAAATGTTAATCTTTGTAAATATTCTTCTCTTAGGTTTTGAAGCATTTCTCTCAGTGTGTTCCCTTAAGTACTGACATGATCATTTTTGTTCTTGTTTCTGTTCTGATATCACAACCAAGGATCCGTAAATACATGTCCAAATAGGAAATTTCTTCTGTAAGTCCTGCCCCTAGTGGCACAGCGTTATGTCTATGGACTTACAACGCTAAAAACTGGATTTCGATACCCGTGGTGGGCAGAGCACAGATAGCCCATTGTGTAGCTGTAAGTCCTCCTTTGTGTTTACTAACTTCTTTTATGAGAAATTCACGTCGAGCCAAAAATTTAACAATTGAGAGCAAAAATACAGATTACAATTCAGATACGGCTCCATTCACAGATCCGTTATACAATCCAAGCGAAAATTAGCGTATGAATATAAACGTGGTGGGCTAGAAGCTGTTCAAGCAGTTGTGAAAACAAAAGAGAGAGAGAGAATATATTCCCTAAGTCTTTTTGTTATTTTCTAAAAGTTTTTAGTGATGATTGAAGGATGGAAACCATCTTGAAGGAAGACGACAAATCGTTTGTTGGAGAAAAACATTCGGTTATTGATTGTGAATTCATTAAATACAAGTGACTCACGTGTGATTCTCCAAAACATGCTAGGTTTAATGTGTGAGTACGTATAACATTGGTAACCCATTAAAAAACAATAAAACAAAATCAAAATTAAGTGTGTGTTGGGGGGGGGGGTAAATGGTGCCTGGCGTAGACAAAATAATCTCAAACTTTAGGTCCAAGGTTTCTAGATTGGGCTTAAACCTTGTACACCTCACTGTATGGTTAGTTTGATTCTGTATTTTGGTGATAACTGTTTATCCAAAGTATCTCTACTTTGGAATGACGATAAACAAATAAAAATTCGATAACGACAAGGACGACGAGATGGTATGGCTTTAAACTAAATTCATTCGACAGTCATGGAAGGATCTTTCTCAACTTATTATGCATTCAAACCCAGTGAGTCAAGGCGGACCTTTCTATAAACTCCAGATAAAAGAAGAGTATTTAAGGTATAAGTAAATATACAATCATCAAGCAGGTCACACTTGTTTTAGCAACTATGGAAGAAGCAGTTCCAATTGTAATAAGGGAACATTCTAATTTATTTGTATGTTATGAAATACAAAACTACACACTGAATGGGCTATTTGTGGTATTCCCACCACGAGTATCAAAACCCAATTTTTTGCGTTATAAGTCCTCAGACTTACCGCTGAGTCACCGAGGGCATCAGTGTCAACATCAGAGTAACATATAGTAATGGAATTTTTCGTTTCTATGCAGATGAACATAATGTATTTTGTATTGTTTGTTTTGAATTTATGCACAAAGCTACACAATGGGCTATCTGTGCTCTGCCCACCACGGGTATCGAAACCCGGTTTCTAACGTTGCAAATCCGCAGATATACCGCTGTATTTTGTAATCTAATCATTATGTATTTTATATAACTAAATATTTACTAGAATATAAGATGTGGTCACCTATCTACCGATTAAAGTTTTATTTCGTACATAATGGAACCTCTTTGGTTAAATATAAAACATTTTGACAACAGAGCTACAAAAGAAAAAAAACCAACACGACCTTTACTCTCCAGGTAATTAAAAGAAACTTTTTTTATTATTATTTCAACTTATGTTACGCCATTACAGCTTCATAAAAAAGGCTAGTATAAAAGCTTAATATAAAGTACAATTTAAATAAAATAGATTTTGTGTAATACCGTAGAAAATATGCCGCAACTTTACGTGGGCGTCAAGTTCTCTCTATCTCTCTCTTTATGCTATATATAGCAGTTGGTCGATCGAAAAGACTGTAACTTTAACTTCAAGTTTTATTATTCATTTCTCAGTAGATGATAATAAAGGCTGCAGCTGTCATAGCTTAAGAATTCATTTGGCAGAATGCTATCTACAATCTTCAACATTCAGAGTTTACAAGTTTCTAAGGAGACGGGGGAATATTATTGGACAGTCGATTACGGAGTGTTTGTTACTCCCACACGTAGAGAAATGCGTCATCCACCTGGCGTGAGCTAACAATATTGTACATGTAAGCTATAACCAATTCTTTCAGTTTATCCAATTTGTTGTTATATTATAGAGACAGCTTTATTATCAAAAATGACAAACAACAACAACAAAAGACAGGAATGAAAGATAAAATATAGGGCGTATCTACAGAAAAGAGATGGCCAAACGTTTAGTTGAAAAATTTTCTCTTATATAACTTAATTTTAACAAAAAAGTTCATTGTCTTTGTATATCACGTATCAGAATAATGTGTTATCTGAGCTTTTATAACGTTTAGTATAGGTCGCCTAATAGTTTAATTCATGCACCCTATTTTTGTCTCATTTAAATTCGATAAGGAAACACGTTAAACAAAGTTGCAGAGAGGAATATTATTTTAACAATGATGAAGAATGAATGTGTAAAAGTAATGTATATTCTATACACATCGTTACGGTAAGAAAAAAAAAAGCCATTAAAACATTGTTAACATAAAGGCCATTTTTCTAGCTAAACATATTAAAAAGATATCTAATAAATACGTTGGTGCTGTTTAATTGAAATGTGCTTACTACTTAGCAAAATATGGCTTATTAACATAGTATTAGCATAAAAATAGGTCTTTCAAAAGAAACATTCTTAGCATTGAAAACTTTTCTATCGCATCTTTAGGATTATTTGAGGGAACATCAGATTTATTCATAAGCAAAAAGTAGCTGTTTAAGTACAAATGTAAATTTTATCTGTCTCTGTCCTAAAACTTATATCTAACGAGGCAAGGCTTCTATCAACAAATTCACTCTTAAGTTTCATTTTTCATTAAAATGTTCATCTTTTAACGATAGTAGGATAGTGCAAGTAACCCAAATTGAACATCAAGTGTATAATGGTTCAATGAAAATAAAATATTTGTATTCTCTTACTATGACAGAAAATCATGAACAATTTAAAATGTATAATGAGCTCACGTCGAAACGTTAGATTTTGTGTTCTTTTGTTTTACAATTTTTAACATTATACAAGAAAACACACTGGTGACAATTTATTGTCTAAAAAAAAGGGAGAGGTAGCAACACAATGACACTATGTTACCAAGGAAAAGGAACCACTAGTCATTGTTAATATTAGTCGAATTCTAAGGTAAGTATCGTAAAATGGCCACCTTAACTTTGAATGCGATTTTCCTCAATTAAGAGGGATGTCATGAAACAGCAAAAATGTTTTAAAATCAGCCCTGTTCTAGTTAAAACTAAGATTATACATAGTGTTGC